CTACAACTAATGAGGACCATTGGTTACCTCACTAAGAACTAATTCCCGGCAGGAATAGGGATAGGTCTTACTTGTATCTCAAGGAAACAGCACTTCACAAACAGAATAGGGCTGTTGCAATATGAACCCACAGAGACTGTGACAGCACACAGAAGACCTACACAAGCTCATTCTAGGCAAAATCCCCAGCACAGAGACAAGATGGGCCCAAGGTCCCACCCCCGGGGAGAAACAGTAAACACTTGTACTTGTAGAAAAGCTAGTGCTTTTTTAAAAAAATTCTTCTTTTCACATAGTTTAAGAGACTTCAGACTTTCTTGCCACAAATAGTTAGTGGTATCTGAATGGACACTTTCACTTCAAAATAATCTGCCTGTGACCTGAAGTTTCCACAGAGGGTGCTAGCTCTCAAACCACACAGTGCATTGGACAAACAAACTGAGGCCTAAATATCATTTTGCCCAAGAGATCAAAATATTTGTAAATGTAGGCAGCATTCATAGTTATTAAAATATAGACGGGGGGGGGAGTAATTTTGTTAGCCTATATTAAATGCACAAAATTAAATTATACTCAAGTGAGCCACTATAGCATTTCCATACATAGAGATAACACACCCATGACCATTTCTGTCCCCTTACCCCCGCCTCTCCCCTCCATAACCCTGGTAGTACACCTTTCACCCTCATAACTCGTCATACACACACACACCACACACACCACACACACATACACACTCGCACATGTACACACATGCATGCATGCACACACATGTATATACTACATTGCAAACATGAGAGAAAGCATGCAGTGTCTGTCATTGTGACTCTGGCTTATTTCACTTAGCATCATGGCTTCCTCTTGTACCATTTTTCTTTCTGGTGACATCTTTTCATTCTCCTTTATGGTTCAACGAGACCCTATTGCATTTTCTTTATCTGTTCCTCCATTGGATGTCTGGGCTGATTCCACAACTTGGTTACCGTGCAACAACAAACACTGATATGCTGGTATCTCTATATTAATGATACAGAGATTATATATCCAGAATCGGCACAGCTGGATCACATTGCTGGTCTGAAAAGGAGAGTATTAATTTAGACTCAGAATCCATTTCCCATTAGGCAGAGAAACAGCCTTCACAGTTCTTTAACTGCTCTACACCCTTCTGTGTCCCCAAACAAGACAGCTGCCCATCATATGACCTTTGCTTCTGTCACACTTAGGGAGAAAGCTCCTCACTTCTTCAGGAACTGTCCTCCCCCCTCAAGTCATAATCATTTTGGTCTGCTCTTATGTACGTATTTTCGTAGATTTCTATTCCAAGGCTGCAAGGAGAGAGTAAATCTGTTTAGCAGGCAGTTTTAAATCGGGTTATCTGCTGTCCTGCCTTCTGGTTCCTGCTTCCTTTGCTTGGTGGATATGGAAGGCCCCGGGGTCTGGGGTCATATGTCTTCCTGTTTCTAGCTGAAGAGACAAGCTCCCACACCCCATCTCTCAGTGTGACTGGCCAGCAGGTCACAAGGTCTTCTGTTACTTTAACTTTGGCTCTTCTTTCTCTCCCCTCTCTCTCATTTTTGCCTCCTTTATGAATTCTCTCATTCTTAGTTTTTCTGCTAGTTTCTATTAGTTTGGGGCATTGGGAATAATTTCCTGTGATCAAGTGTGTGTGTATATGGTGGGTATTCTGTTTTTTATTATTATTATTATTTGTTTGTTTGTTTTTGTTAAGAGCAAATCGTAACCTTTTACCATTAGAATGGATCTAAAAGCAATTCCTTAAATTTCAACTCTGGTTATGCCACCTAATTAAAATGACCCTCTTAGAAACAATTTATTTTTACTGTACAAAGGAACAACACATGACCCATTAGTACATTTTGCAATCTAAAAACCTAGAGTCTTATTTTTGGGAGTCAATACGGCCCTCCCCAGTCCTCTTAATCCCCTAAACTGACTACCCAGAGGCAGGGAAACTCAAGCGCTAGATGTCTGTCTCTCGTCAATCCAATAGTGGATTGAGTGTTTTGGAGAACAGCATATCGCATGGGTGAGAGTAGCTCATCCCCCACCCTCCACCTCCTGCTTCCACCGGAATGCGCTCAGCTGCTTTCATTGTTTACACCCATGGCGGGTGGGGGGGGCACGACTCTACATCTTACATTGTGCAGTTAGATTATTCCCTTTTTCTATACAACTCTTTTTTCTTTCTAGAATTAGTAATCTCCTTTATGTTTTTATTTGCTTAGTCTCTGTGTGTCTGTCTTTGGGGTAAGTTTTCTGTGTTATAACGTCAAGCAACTAAAAATAACATTTTCAGAAAGCTAAACATGGCAAATCAGTTTGTTTTTCCAGTTTCTAGAGATTTCTTTCCTACAATTTTCAGTCCTTTTGCTCAAGGCAGGGGCAGGGACTGCTATCTAAGGCTGCGCCACAGATGCTGTTCTGGGACCTGCCTTCTCTAACTCCTGGGTGTCCATTGTCTCCCACATCTTGTTTCCTGTATCTATGGTCTTCCTTCTTCCTCAACAACTTCCTCTTTTCTGTAGTTCATTTCCCAGCAGTTTCCTGAGAAAGAGCAAGCATAGGAGCTAAGGTTTTGAACATTTGAATATTTTATAAGATGTCAGGATTGATTGACAGAGTGCCTCGGTCAAGTATTTTAGGTTTGAAACAATTTCTTGTGAGCAGTTTGAAGACATTTCTCAGCTGCCCTCTGGCTTGGGACATGGTTTGTGGGACAGCTGATACTTGCTGACACCTCTGGGTGCTGGCAGCTTTTCTTGCTTGTTTGTTCCTTTCAGGAAGATTTTAGGGTGGTATGTTACTATAACTCACCAATGTGACACAGGTCTTTCCATGTTCATTATGTCACATTCTCCTCCGTGAGAATCCTTACACTTTAATGTGGGGACATTAAAAAACAAACCTGTTTATTCCTTCCTCTGTCCACGTTCTCTCCCCTCTCTAGGACTTACAAATAATTTCAGTTTCTAATCATGTATTTATAGGGCTGTTTAGGTCAAAAGACTCACTTAAAATAAATATGTTTCCTGACTACTTATGGAGAAAGAGGCATGAAGTGATTTATCTTAGTCCCCTGGCTTTAATAATGCATTTAAATGAAGACACTCCCTCTACGCTCTTGTGTGTTAGCTGTACCACTTGAAACTATACCAACATCAAGGATGTCATGATTATTAGTAACAATGGCTCCCACTGTGTGTTTTTCTGTGCACCAGGGTTTTCCTTGGACCACAACAGAATCTATGTCTTTGTGCTGTGAAGATTAAATAAGTCACAACACATCAAGTGCTGAGAGCAAACACAATGCTCAATAAACAGTAGTGTGCTGCTTCTATTATTATCACCACCCAAACACACAGGGCTTCTATCCTCGTTTTTTTTTGTTTTGTTTTGTTTTGTTGTTTTGTTTTGTTTTGTTTTTTGAGAAAAGGGCAGTGAGGTCCCAAGAGGCTATCTCCTGGTTCATAAAGTGGAACCAGCTTTTCTGGCTCCAAAGAACATGCTCTCCGTTGGGTTGTAATATTTGTAGAGGCATTCCTGTCTTCCTTTCTATGTGACAAGTCAGAAATGGCTCCCCAGTCACCGAACTGTGGACTTGAAGACATCCAAAAGTCCATGGAAGAGTCTCTGCTCTAAATCAGTTAAATATTTCCTGCATTGGAGGCAAGAACTGGAGTGAACCATTTCTGACATCAAGCCATGGTCAGCTTTATCTGAAATCAAGGCTGTGGTGATTTTTGGGTAGTGGCACATAGGAAGCTTTGCTAATTGACACATGTGGTTTGTGCAAAAACAAGGAGAGTGTATTTCCTGAGCCAAACAATGTGAACAGATTGTCTCTGTTCTTATCTATGTGTGTGTTGTTCCTACATGCATGAACATATACCCCCATGTGTGTGTACATACCTGTGCATGTACGTGTGTGTGTGTGTGTGTGTGTGTGTGTGTGTGTGTGTGTGTGTGTGTGTATGTGTGAGTGTGTGTATGGTTGTCAAACCAGAGGTTGACATCCAGTATCTTCCTTGATCATTTCCACCTTTATAAGCTGAAAAAGGGTCATTTACTTCAACCTAGAGCTTGCTGATTAGCCTGGTCTGGTTAGCCAGCTTGCTTAGGAGATCTCCCGTGTCTGCAGGCATTTGTGTAGGTTGGAGGGGTCCAGATTCCAGTTCTCACATTTGCACTTCAGGCCCTTCACCACTGAGCTATCTATCTCCCCAGCTTCTGTCTGTGTTCTGTAGGCATTTTCCCAGAAAGAAAGCTCTGCTTGGTTTTTCAAGCCTTAAATTCTTCCCTGCCATTTACTGCAGTAGTTTCTTTTCTTGTTGCTCAGACAAAAGCAGCTTAAGGAAGGGAGGGGTTCTTTTGGCTCATAATTTGAGGATACAGTCCATCATGGCAGGGACATCCTGGTGACAGAAACTTGATGCAGCTAGTCGGTTTACACGCCTAGTGGGGAAGCACGGAAGGATGAATGCTGACACTCAGTTCTCCCTTTTATTCAGTCTGGAGCCCAGCACATGGGAGAGTACTGCCCACATTTAGGGTTGATCTTCTCACCTCAATAAACCCAATCTAGGAGCTCCCTTCCAGGCATGCCCAGAAGTTTGTGTCCTAGGTGATTGTAGATCCTGTCAAGTTAACAAATCAATATTAACCACCATGGTCACAAGAAGGCCAGCCCTTTGTCTCCTGAAGTGTCCCCATATGATGGCCCAAAGCCAAATCTGAACACCTGGCAGAGCCCCAGGGCTGCCCTGATGGAGCCAGTTCCTTCTTTTGCAGAGGATGAGACTTGGTCAGCAAAGCTTGGGACATAGGTGTCACCTTTTGTATGGACCTGGGGACTGTTGTTTGTTGACAGTCGTGTGTGCATTGCACTATACACATCTTGAACTAGAAATACTAACACTTGAGTAGAGAAATGTCTCCACTTTTCTCACCATTTAAAAATCTCTTTAAATATCTGATAGACGTTGGTGAAACACTGAAGTAGGCAACTCTAGGGGTCTCGTGACCCTGAATATGTGCCGCGGAGAAGAAACTGCTCACATTCAAGACTGTGGAAATACAAGAAGCAAAAATGTGCAACAGAATGTTCAACATTGCCCAGGGCTTGCTTCCCCAACAGCACCCCATTGTCCTGGAAAGTCAGGCTCCTGTATTTGATACCAGTGGAAGCTGAGCTGGAGAACAGCTAGGCAGAAGGAGAGCACAGCACTCCCATCATGCATTCTGACTCCCATTGTCCCTAAGACTCACTTTAAAGATGAAGAACTGACCAGATCAGCCAGATCGAAAGCAGATGGAAGAGCTAGATGTGGCCAGCACACGGGAAGGGTAAAACAGAAGCACAGGGACAAATTCAAGGACAACCTGGTCTATCTACATAATGAGTTCCAGGACTGTACAGGGAGATCCTGCCTCAAAAACAAAACAACAACCACCAAAAAGAAAGCAAACATCATCATCATCAACAACAACAAAGCCCATGCTTAGACTGTCTCCATGCACCCGCTTTGGATTCTCAGACTCGGTGAGGCAGTCGTTTTCTGTTCTTATTTTATCACTGAGGAAGCCAGGTCATTTAAGCCATGCAGAAAACCACATAACTTATGGGCATGATCTGGAATTACATTCAGTCTTGGGTTGCCTTTCAAGTCTGTCTTAGCTGGGCATGGTGGCACAAGCCTGGAATTGCAGCATTTGGGAAGCAGTGAGATTTCTAGTTTGGAGTCTTTCTGGGCTACATAATGAGACACCCCCCATCTCAGAAAATAAAATTATGCTCTTTCACTCTGTCACTGTGCACATGTGAGTGTACACAGACACGCACACCTGTGCATACACGCAGCTGCTGTGAACTGATTGACCTGGACAGATAAGTATAAGGTCACTACAACAGGCTAACTTCAGATTACACTATTCAAAGCCTGCCTCTGTAGGTTACTAGGTATGTGACTACACTTAACAATTGTGACTCTGTTTGTCTCACCATAAAGTGGGATAATACCAGGATCTACCCCATAAAGCTACTGCAAGACATAAGTCTTAGCTGAAATATAATGCATTCAGTAGCCAAACATTATTTGTGGAATTCTCCCATGAGGGTAGTATTGTAGATTGTGTGGTAGAGTCATTTAAAGTACTAGTTATAACAGTCTCAGTTTTCAGCCAATTTCATTTTTAATAAGGCTGGTTATGGTATATGCTTAGCAATGGGAGAAAACATGCATTTCAAATAATGTGCAAACTGGTACACGTGTGTAAAGTGTTGATAGTAAACCCAACACACAGCTCAATGAGACAGCACTGCCATAGTGAGATTGTGTGGCAAAGAAGGACTCCTGAAATTTGAAGTTTGTAAGCATGGTTGCTGTGGCACTGTGGCCTTCTGTGTGCATTAATTATCATTCTCTTTTCCTGACTTGATACAAGCCAGGGTCATCTGGAAAGAGGAAATGGCTCCATTGGGTTGGCCCATTGGCAAGTCTGTGGAATGTTTTCTAAATGATTGATGTGGGAGGGTACAGCCACCTGGGCAGGTGGTCCTGGGTACTATAAGAAATCAGGCTAAACAAGCCAGATGGAGCAAGCCAGTAAGCAGTGTTCCTCCATGGCTTCTGTTTCAGTTTCTGCTTCCAGATTCCTTCCCTGACTTCTCTTCATGAAGGGCTATTAGCTGTAAGATGACATAAGCCCTTTCCAGGCTGCTTATGGTCATGGTGGTGTTTATCACAATCACAGAAGCTAAACTAAGACATATTCTAACTGGAAAAAAAGCAACCACATTTATTTTGTTAAACATTGATTACAGCACATCTAGGCAAATAATTCTGAAGCCAGTTAATGGCTATAATATGCATGCATCATCTTTGTAAAAGTAATTCCCTCATTTATTAACAGCTTTGTACATACACACCGTATATTGCAATTATATTCAGTCCATTATCATTTCTTATTCCACTCTCTCCCCTGACCATTCATAGCTTCTAATTTCATGCCTTTTTTTCCTTCCTGTTTGACCCACCGAGTTTAATTCGGGTTGCTCAGAGTGGGGTAATACACTGGAGTATGGGCAAGTTAACCAGGGGCCAAACCATTGAGAAATATGATCTACCCCACTATGCCCCACAAGCCCATCAGCTTCAGTGTTGACGTGTGAAGGATTCATGAGCTGCATCCCCATCCCTGGTGGACTGCTGAAGGCCCTGGTCTTGTGCAGATAGATATTCTGCCAAGAACACTGCAGCTGTGTGTTCATGACCAACATGCAAATTCATGACCAAATGCAAGAATCAAAAATTTCTCTGGCCACTCCCTTGCTTGCCTGGTTGAAGGGGGATTGGGGATAAAACAAAGTAGATCTGATGCAAGGATGACAAGTATGTAAAAGTCCAGAACAAGCTTTCTTGGCAAGCCTGAGCCAGGGCATGTAGACAGTGTCATTCATTTTACTCGTATCCCTGACCCACCCTGCATTTTTAGGGAGAAAACAGAAGTGAGACAGGCCTGAGGATGGGCAGTATGTTCTGAAATCATGTCTCACACATGGATGTGAACTCGGGTCATGAGACTTAGATTCCCAGCTCAGTCACTTGCTCTCTGCAACATCCAGGCAAGTCCCATGAACCACCTGGGCTTCTAAACATCAGGGCTTTTATATCCAGAGTTCTTTTCATTTCTCACGTCCCACACTTCTGCTCTAGCATTCCTTTGCTCCTTGGGCCTGGAATTAATCTGAGAATCCAAGAAAGCATCTGGTTCTACAAAGATCAACAGCCGCCCATCACCACTCCTAATCTGGTTTGTCAGTTCCAGGTGGCATGGGCTTCAACCAGGACCATCTGTCCCTTCCAGCAGCTCCAGAGCCACTCTGCATCAGAGACTGGACAGACAGATGTTTTCACCTTGACCCTGCTGCTTCTTTCTGGCATGTCTTCATTATCCCCTTCACTTCCATTCCCACTCTTCCTCTCCCCATGTAAGGGCAAGCAGAATGAAAAGCAAGAAGACGACCCTCGGGCAAGCCCTCAACACATGATTTATTGCCTTGAACATAATTTTCTAAGTCCCATGACCCAAAGTTAGGAAAACTGGCAGTCTCTCTCACAGGATAATGAAATATTAAGACAAAATGCAATTCCAAAAACAGGCAGGGGGATGAAAAGAACTTTCCATTTTCAATTCTAAATGTCAAACAGCCGTTCTAGTTTTTATTGTATGACAAATAACCATTATTTGTTGAAATTCTGCTGCAAATAACAGTATGGTAAGGCTTTTACGGGGAGATCATCGAGGAATGTATTTAACTCACTCAGAATTCACACCAGGATGACTATTTTAAGCACAATGAAATACCATTTTAATAATTTCACATAATATTGTCATGATGGATAGCTACTTTAAATTTACATGCCAGCTATGTAAATGGCCATAAGTGATTTTTCATTATCCTAAATGGTGAGTCATTTGAGATATTGATGTAAGCGTAGTGCAGGAACAACATTTACAGTTTATTAAGCTAAAAGGGCCCTAATCAGTCATTATATTTCAAATGACACCCACAAAGAAAAGAAACAGATTTGCTAAGATACTTTTTTTTTTTTTAAGAGCTGGAAAATCAGTAGAGGTGAGTGTTGTATTTGACCTCAAGACATAGCTGTGCCCTTGGTGCTGAGTGGAGCAGGGTGTGTTGTGAACAGCAAGAATGCCCAGCAGATGGACCATTGGCTGCTTAGCTCCTCTCGTGTCACGAGACAATGATGCTTTATTGTAGTGTAAACCCTGACCCTTACAGCAGTCAGCTTTCCATTACAATAACAAAATCCTGGAAACAATCAGCTTCGAGCTCTGTTTCAGGGTTTCTGCTCTATGATTGGTTAGAGCCATTGATTTGGTCCTGTGACACTGCACAACAGAACAAACCACTCACCCAGTGAGCTAGGAAACAAAGAGGAGACATGAACTATATAGTCCCCTTCAAGGATTTACCCTCCCAGCGACCTAGAGACATTCCCTGGAGGCTCTTCTTCTCAAAGATCCCGCCAGTTCCCCCAAAGAGCCTCCCAGGGGACCAAGCCTTCATCACATGGGCTTTTGGGGAGGCATTCAAGATCCAAGATGGTGCTGCTCTAGAACTAATACCATATATTGACATCTGGACTGTATGTTGTTACTTCTTGGGGTTTTCACAATAGAATAACTTTTCTCTAAAGTCTCACTGTCAGAATGGCATCAGAGCAGTAGGGGCTCAGCTGTGCAGGGTCCATTTGTGAGCCAACATGAAGTCCTGTTAGTGTTCTCTGCTATCAGCTGTTCTCTTATGGATCATTGCACTAATCACAGTGATTAAATGATGAGCTACAGGATACTTTTAAATTTTTGTATAATGAATGTTTCTGAAGAATATACAATATATTTACAAAGTATTTTAAGTAACATACTTTGTCACCAAAGAATCAAGTCCGTTTCACTGAGGACCAATTCATACTTTTCAATGTGACTCCCACTAGCTCACATGTAAAATTTAAAAAATTATTATTTTGGTTTTCATAGCTAAATTTTAGTTGATTTAGAAGTTGACATTTCTTGGAAAGGAGAATGCATACATTTAATGAAGATCAAATCCTTTTCAATGGTTAAGCCGTATTTCACCCTTAATCATATCATTTATGATTCTGTAATACGTAGAGAACTCAAAAAATAAAGCATCATTTAGCATGCTAAGAGTCATTTTCCTAAGTCATTCCATTTTCTGCACTTTCTACCTAGTAGAACATATTTCATTTGATGTCACACACCTATAAGTTTAACGACCAGAGCAGCTGAAGCAGGGGGATCACTGAATTCAAGACTAACTTGGGCAACACAATCACACTATCTCTGTAAAACTAAGTAAAAAAAAAATTTCTCAGCACTAGTATTACAATATCTATGGAATTCATTTATTCAGTTTTGATTCCAGTAATTGGTCACAGAAGTACAGTCAGTAAAAAGCACCAGTGGGATGATGTAAGCTACAGTTCACACTTCACAGAGAATAGATTTGTCAGGTTACTTTGTGCTGCTAACATACAGCAGCTCAAATGCATAGGTGAGCATGTCTGGATCGGTGGGAATATTCTACCACCCCAGACACATGGCTCCCAAGACTGCTCCCATCATCATGCTTTTAATACAGCAGGAAAGAGAAAGGCAGGGCAAAACTTGTCATTAAGGAAGTAACCTGGAAATACCTTTTGCCATTTCTTTCCCCCTTTCCCTGGAATGAACTCAATCAAAGAGCCACACTAGGGAATGCAATTGCTTTTACAGGGAAGTCAGTGACCTGATAGAACTTAGGAGATTCCAGTAATGGAGAGAAGAGAATCCAGGAACTGAAGAGATCAAGACACCAATATATGCCTGGTGTTTCAGTAACTACAACACTTGAGAGAGCAGAGAGATAGGAGCATCCTGGGGGCTTGCTAGACAGCCAGTCTAGCCAAAAAACAGTGAGCTCCAGGTTCAGTGAGAGACCTTGTTACAAAAATAAGATAGTGATAGAGGAGGATACCCAATGTCAATCTCTGTGTCCGCATGCTCAAGTATGGACATATGCACCCCCATACATGTGCACACATATGTACCTCCATACATGTGCACACATATGTACCCCATACACGTGCACACATATGCACCCCCATACATGTGCACACATATGCACCCCCATACATGTGCACACATATGCACCTCTATACATACATGTGCACACATATGCACCTCTATACATACATGTGCACACATACACACCTCCATACAT